GTTCCAATATGCGTTTTTGCTGCCTCTTGCAGCGCTCTAGCGCTGCACGGCAAAAACGCATAAAAAAAGTCTAGCCGACGTCACAATCAAAGTACGCAAGAATGAAAATTAGCCCTAATTATGCAACGAACTGAGACAAACGAAACACCCATTAAATGAACAATGAAAGGCAGCTATAATAATTCAACAATACTTTTAATTATGCGCTAAAAAACTTGGTAACGTAGATGTTAGATAGTCCTGAGGTTAAAAAAAACCACTTTGAACTGACCCCGCGCACACTGAGTGGTCTTTCGTTGTTACGTTGATTTGGATCCAACATGCCCAACTTGATGGCCAGTGAACGATCTTTGTCCGCTATTACAGGAAACGGAAACTTGTTTTCTGAAGCCAATATTTATATCAAAGTAAAAATATCTATTCTTCACTGCCCCAAAACTGGAACTTAGGATTTACATCGAATTTCTCCTTCTCTCAAGTGTATTCAACGGGCAGTATTTAGCAATTAATCTTAGATAACGAAAGGTTGATAAGTCGTTGCGAAAAAAAATTTAGGTCTCAAAGATGCCATGTAATTCAGCGGTAGTTGGATATCGAGGAAATCTAGGGCCCGATTTTTCGCAGTTGTTTTTCTCATACGGTTTGGCCCTCCTAAAAAATGATTCTGAATCACAGACATCAATTATAAGTGACTGTGAATCACTAACATCCATCCTGAACAAGGAGCAGTGGCATAAACCTCAGAAGCGGCAACTGTAGCTCATGCAACAATCTGAAATGACCCTCCAGCTGTGTATCCCGTCTGCCCCTCCGAAAGCTGAGTGCCTTCCATTTTCCCGTTCGGATAAGATGATATTCGCTTCATGTTACCTGAGCCGCAACACTTATCACCTCCACCACCATGGCTTTTGCAGTACGCGATCATGTCGTTGGCCGTCTCGCGGTGAGCCTCCATCGAATCGCAGCTGAGCCCAAGCAACTTGACGTGTCGCTTTTGGAACTGAGGTGCTAGCTGGATAAGTCTGACGAGCTCCGTTGAGTATACTGGTGAGAAGTCATGTGGATGCGAGAAAAGGATGGCCCAGTTGCTGCAATTTTCCCAGCATTATATTCGTTAGGATTAATTTTCCATCAAGTAGTTGTAATTCTTCGAACTTAAATCAAATGCTGTTGTTATTGTTGTTGTGTTACTGTTGCTGGGATTTTTGTAAAGACTTTTTAAGGAAATGGAAAAATTGGAAATATGATTAACGTCTTGCGCAACACTGGTTTACTCGTTTAACAAGTTATAAATGTGACTCTGA